CAAACTGTTCTGTGGTTCTCCGACTCCTGGCTCTCCCTGGGAGCACAAAGGGGGAATGTGGAATACCTGGTGCTCCTGTGTTTACTGGCAGGCTTGAACCAGCCTCATGTGCAGCCAGGCAGCAGGAGAGGTCCCACCCAGCCCTGAACTCCTCGGGCTGGAGACTTTCAAGTGCAAATGATTGACTTTAGAGGCAGCAAGAGCACTGTCTGAAGAGGAGAGGAAGATGCACGGTTAAGCCCCAAATAAAGGGGTCAGCCAAGCTCTTACCTGGTTTAATGGTATATTTTCATCCATGTGCTCCTCTCCTCTGACCATTCCATCTTACCCACAGCAGATTCCAGCTACTTAATGCTCTGTCCCACTGCTCATCACTTGCATAATGCAGATACATGACTGCTGCAGACTCAAAGGTAATCTCACCTCGATTATCTAATGAGAAAGGAGGAGAGCATTAAGGTCTCCCTCAAAGCATTTTTGGCCTGAAACAGAACCTAAACTTTTCTTAAAACCAAATTGTTTTGGAAACAAAAGGATTCTCTTCCAATCCTTGGTTTTAGTCAAAACCAGAATGTACTAGAGTTGTGAAAGCTGAGTTTTGATCAGATTTCCAGGCAGAAACCTCCCTTCCAAAGATTGTTTATTAACCTGCGATGGGGCGGAGTGATGTTCATCAACAGGAGCTGTGCACATCGGTATGAAATGCAAACAAGAGAGACTAAATGAAAACAACATTTAGCCACCAGGAGATCAGGGTTGTTCCTGTGGGAATGAACTCCAGATCTGTGTGTTTGCAGGGGGTGAAGTGCTCCTGCTGCTGCCAGACCCTCTGGGTTGGATCACTCACCATGGGCAAGCCCCATTCCAAGGGCAGGGGTTGCTGTTCAATCCTGCAGGTCAAAATGTGGCATTTTCCAGGCTGGCTGTGTTTGTAGCCACCAGAAACATGGGTGTTTATGCCCAGGGGGTGTGTGACTCCTGTCTTGGGACCTCATGAAAGAGCAGGCCCACGGCTCTGCCTGGTGCCACCCAGAGTCAAGCACTGCTGCTGACGGATGAATCCTGCTCCTGATGGATGGATCCTGCTCCTGCAGGGAGCACAGCCACCTCTCAGCTCCACGGGGCTTTTTGGGGCACCTGGAAGTGGATTCCTACAACCAAACTGCTCTTTTCTGCCTCCTGCTTCAGCCTCAGGCGCAAACAGGCAGTTGTGGAGGAGGGGGACAGTGCAGAGGGGATGTGAGCACACAGTTTGTGATCACTGGGCTCAGGCTGGGGGATTTAATGACCTGCCAGGCTCCTCCTTCCCTTTGGAGCCAATGAATGTGCAACTCAGTGTTTGCTGAGGAACCTGATGGGTTTTTGGTCAGACCTTTTCCCCTGATCCCCTTCCCTGAGATGCAGATTTGCATTAGGCTGCTCAGCCCCAAACTAATTTAGTTAATTGCTCAACTACAAACAAGCATGTCCCTGCTTTCCTGAAGTGTGGCTAATCAGGCATCATTTTCTTGCATTCCTTGGATCCTTTATGTGGGTCAGTACTCTTCCTCCCCCTGTGCACACCTTTTATGTGGGGGGGCTGTGAAATGGTGCAGTTTTGCACTAGGAGGCCCTCCATGGAAAGCCAAAGCTCCAGTGATGCCTATTTGGAGAGGAATTAGGAGCCTGGCTCTGGGTTTTGTCAGTATGAGCCTGTTTAGTATTCACAGACTGTCTTGGAAAGGTGATGGTACTGCAAGGTCAGCGCTGAAAACGATTGAATGGAGTTAATGCTGCAAGCAGTTAATTAACATCAGTAAATTGTTTAGTGCAATTGCCTCCACGGGTCAGCCCCTCTCTCTGAAGAAAGCCAACAATCAGTTTGGAAATTAAACTGACTGTTAGGAACAAAGGCACTTTGTTTATCATCATCGTGTAATCATGGAATGGTTTGAGTTGGAAGGGACCTTAAAGATCATCCCATCCCACCCCCTGCCATGGGCAGGGACACCTTCCACTAGCCCAGGTTGCTCCAAGCCCCGTCCAACCTGGCCTTGGACACTTCCAGGGATGGGGCAGCCCCAGCTTCTCTGGGCAACCTGTGCCAGGGCCTCCCCACCCTCACAGGGAACAATTTCTGCCCAATATCCAGACTTTGAGACTGAAGACATTCCCCTTGTCCTGTCACAGTCCAGCCAAGTTCCTGGGTTCTTCTTTTCTGTGAATGTCTGAAAGCAGATTCCATACTGCTTAATTCTGGGCATAATTTGCCTGGAAGGCAAAAAAACAGCCATGAAGGGAGATCACAACATTGCAGAAGCAACAAGACTCTAAAGAGCTGACAACTGTACCCTCAATGCCTTAATGCAGGTTATACAGACTGTGTTTATGTGGCACAACGATGTTAAAAAAGACCTCAAGAAAATACTCAGATTTGCATTTTGTACAGAATATTCATCTGCTTCTTAACTATCAGCCCCACACTGGCTCAGACATATCATTTCCATGTCTACATGAGCCTGTCAAGACCTACTATCCCAATTAAAAGCATCCTGGTGCACATCTTTCATTACAAAGATCAAATTCAGGAGAAGTGGTTTGCTAAATTCTGACAGTCTCAAAGAAGAACATCATCTGTGCTGGGCCACAGCCTCCAGGAGAAATCATTCCTTAGCCCAGCTCATCAGCCCCAAGCATCACCAGGGCCTCTCTCATCTTACAACAACCAACCAAGGCAAATCCTGGTCCTTTGAAATGAAAAAAAAATTAAAAATCAGTGTGGCACGCTCAAATTTAGGAACAACATTCCATGGAAATTGGTGCCCTTCCCTCAGCCAAGGGTTTGCTGGCGTGCAGAGCTGTCCCATCACATCAAAATGTGCCTGTGCAGGAGGTGACTCGGAGCTCTGCTCCCATCAGGGCGACACCTGTCCCTTCCCAGGACAGCCTGGTTCAGGATTGACACAATATACTCTGTGTTTCTCTCCATTACCTTCTTTAAAAGAAAAAAGGCAGCTGTACCCCCAAACCTCATCACTGCTGCTCCCACCTGTGCCACGCTTGGCACTGGAGAACCAAGAACCTGCAGGTCCAGAAACCCAGACAGCAAAGACAAGCCCCACCAAAGGCATTCCAGCCTTTTCCTGCCAACTCCTGCTGCGTTAAAACCACCAGGGCTTCTCGCTTTGGGTTTGTTTTGCTTTATTTGCCAGCGATGCAAATTTACCTGATAACATCTTAAAACCAAAACTAGATCCAACATTCCTCGTTCCTGCTCTTAAAACCCGCGGGTTCAGGCTCAGGTTGGCAGGGCAGGGGGGGGTGAGGACACTGTGCTTCCCGAAGATCTCTTTGTTTCCAAACACCCTTTAACTTTGAAGTCCAGGAAGTGACAGAAAGGGGCACTGTTGTTCTTTGCACAGGGATTTACGTGCAGCAGGAACAGATTTGGCTCCTTGGCTGGAGTTTAATCATTAACTCCTGCGGGCACCCTGGAGCAGGCAGGGGTTGTTCCCATTTATTAATTACACCTCTGACTGCAGAGAGGCTGTGCTGAGGTGCTGACAGCAACATCCACAACTGCTCAATGGAGAAACCCATGGGCCTGGAGCTCTAATGTGATCCCTGGTGCTGCCACGCTGCTCACACGGAAAATATTCACCCGCCAGCACGTGGCTGTTGTAGGAAGGAAATTCCCTTAACAAGCATAGCCCACAAAAATAAATTCTGTAAAAATTAACTCTCCTTTAGCAGTAGAAGGTGCAAGGCAGTGGTACTCCCTCAGGAGGGTCCTTTCCATGTGCTGCCATCACTGTTCCCAGCTGCCTTGGAAATGATGCTGAGAGACCCCTCGTTGCTTCCAGCGTTGCTGCCCCTGCTGGATTTATTTTCTTTTTTTGTTTAAAGGAGGAGGGGGTCCTCAGATGTCTCTGCTCCAAAAGCTGGGGGCACCTTGGGGACCTTGTGCAGAGCAAGGTGAGTGTTCCCACCCTGGACAGGTGAGGAAGCAGCACACGGTGGTGTCACAGGTCAAGCTGCCTCTTACTACCCCTGAAAATCATCTCTGTCAGAGCCAATCTGCCTCCATCCAAAATATCTCTTCAGAGCAACCCAGGATGTGCCCAAGGCCAGGTTGGACAGGGCTTGGAGCAACCTGGGCTAGTGGGAGGTGTCCCTGCCCATGGCAGGGGGTTGGAATGACATGAGCTTTAAGGTCCCTTCTGACCCAAACCATTTCCTGACTATATGATTCTGTAATTCCATAAAATAACACTGAGTAGTCTTAGGGGGTTCTCACTTTATTGTGTTCCATTTTATTGCTAATACAAGGACAATTCTATGGCTTTGCTATTGGTGTGGTAATAAATGCCCTCGGACAGATTAGTTGGGCTGAAGCCCAGACAATATTGGGGAGTTTATTGCACAGGTTTGGTACAAAACACAACTATTACTGCAATATAAGTAATCATATCACGATAAAGAAGGCAAAACTATTCAACAGAGATTTATCTTCAGGCAGGGACATTCCAAAGGGCTTCAATGATTGTTTTACACAGAAAACAGTCTGGCCTTCAAAGCCTGTCTGCACCCGAGAGGGGAAGAGCAGAACTTTGTACCCTCCAGCAGAACTAGGGCAGGACAAAGTGGTTTCCACCAACCTCCCTCTGAACCCCACACACTTCTCACACAGTGAGTGTTATCCTGCAAATTCTGGAGACACACAGAGTGCTGGAACCAGCCCAGGGCCTTCTCAGAAGTGCCACAGGCAGATTTTTGTTTGCAATCAATCATTTTTATCTGAAGGAAAAGCAGACCAAAGTCCCTCTCAATAACACAACCGTGAAATGCCTCCATAGCTTTGAGGATATCAGCGGGTCTGCACCTCTCTCAATTAGGATTATTTGCTTAGTGCAAAAGAGGAACTGTGTGTGTGCAAGAACAAACCTCCTTTAGATCCATCTTCGGGCCCTGTGAGGCCACGGGCGTGGCCATTACCCCAAAATAAACTGTAATTGTCACAAATATATCTGGGTTTTGGTGGTACCTGTGCAGAGCTCTGGGTTTGATGCTGGATGATGGTGCCTTTCCTGTGGCAACAAAACCCACCAGCTGGCAGATTTTAAGTGTACAATGGTTAGAATGCAGCAAGAATAAATTCAGAGAGGAATCAAGCAGGGACTGGCAAGGCAAAAAAACCCAGACAGACAAACAACCCAACCCTAAAGCAGGAGCTTAAAAATTAATTTTACACACCTACAAATGGTTCCCAGAGCTTGGCTGGTGATGGTGATGATGTCCTTGTGGGAGAAGCATCTGGACACGCTCTGTGATGAACAACAGGGAAGAGAAAAACCAGACTTTAAATGTAGTAGTTGGTTAAGCAGCACTTGTAGCAGCACAGCTTCACCACCCACTTCATTCTTGTTGCAGGGACTGTTTTATAACAGGGGTTGAAGCAGAAACCACCTTTTTGTCCTGGATTCATAAAAAGCACAGCATCAAACGACAGGCACAAGCTACATGAAGCACTTGGGTCCATTCAAACCACAGCAGTTTGAGGAAGCATGAACAGAGTTCTTCCTTGACGTGAAGTTCTGCCTGGAAGTGGCTCAAAAAATACAACATTTTACTACAAATATTTAGAGACAGGTGTTTTATGTTAAAGTATTTTGTCTGTAGAGCAGGGGAACTCCTCTCAGACTCTTGCACTTTCTGCTCCTGACCTCTTCATCTTTTCTTTTTCCCCCTTCCATGATGTCACCCATGTCATTATGGCTAAAAACGCCCATTTTTGGGTTCCATCCTCAGTATATTGGTGGCATCTCTGCTCTCCCTCCAAGCATTTTGACAATCTCCAGTTTGCTCAGCAATGCACATCTAGGTTTGAAAAAATTTTTGGTGCACCCATTTTAAACTCTGGACATCAATACATGAAAAAAAAGAATTAAACATCAAGAGGCGAGCGAAGACTAACTGAGCTGCAAGCTGCAAAAACCACTTTATTAAACTAAATTCAAGTTGGAAGCAGAGCAGGAGAAGATTTCCAGCACCAGAAACACCACAATCTAAGGTAGGTGAGCCTCAATTTGCCCTTAAAATACTGTTGTTTGGAGAACAATGTACAGTGATTATCTGAGATACTTTGAGGGATTTCACCTATGGTGTGTAACAGATCTGAAATTTAAAGTAATTATTTCCATAGCAATAAAGGTGGTAGAGCTTTATAGCGATTTTTCTTCTTTTAAGGTAGTTTGCCTTCATTTCTTTTTTTCTTTTTGAAGCTATAAATTAAATTGCTGTCTCTTTTTGGCCATGAAAAAGTATGTGGACAAGGTAAATACTTATGCAAGTCAGAGACACTCTGCCCAGTTATGCAGCCCAATTATGGATGGGGGCAGGAAAATGGTTTAATCAGACAGGTGCAGAAAATTGATCATATAAATATTTTCACAATATGAAACTGAAATGAGGACAGGAGAAAAAAAATCATATATGGTTTACTTCTGGGATTTATATTGCTCTTTTTTTTTCACTTTCTTCTTTATGTTTAATGTCTATTTGCTGGAACACCTCCTTGCCTAAAGCCTAAGATTAAATGAAATTAAAATGTAGCTGACAGCTCTGTCCTGCTGATATTAATCCCAAAAATGAGGAAAAGAGGGAGTGCACTGGCTCAGCTGCAGTGCTGTACATCAGAAAAGATTAAATAAGCATAGGGATAATATTTTCCTTGATGTAAACAAGGACATTCGGCTCATTCTTGTCAGCTCCTTATTGCTCTAAGCCCTCCAGATCGGTGGGAATTATGGCACTGAGTGAAAATCCCTCTTTTTCAAGTCACGCATCCAGTGGCTGCAATGAGGGAACTCCTGAGGCTCTGCTGAACCCACTGCCCAGAGCTGGGGGGACTGGAACGTCCTCCTGGCTCTTTGCTGAGCACAGGAGGCTGGGCTGGGCAGGCAGATGTGGTTGGGCAGCTGTGCATGGACACACAGACACCTCTGCCCTGCAGAGCTGCCTCAGAAACGGGGAGAACCCAGAGGGGAACTGCCCAAAGGGGATCCTGGGCCAGCTGGACCCCCCCAGCCTGCGCTGAAAGGGGAAGAGAACATTTCTCCAGCCCTATCCCCCACTTCCCATCAGCCAAGCGGGGGGAGAGGTGGATGTTTGCAAGCATAATGTCCCCAGCATAGGGTGTTCAAGGCACAGCAAGTGGCTGGTTGTGCTGGTTTGAGCTAAACCACGACCCTGGTACAAAGCTGAGCCCACCTCCCGCTCCTCTGCAGCTCAGGGGGTGGAGGGGACAAGCACTGGGCTCCTGGGGGTGTCCAGCCCAGGACCCAGCTCAGCACCATGGCGAGCAGGAATAAGGCTCACTGTGGCTCTGAATTTCCTTGTTCATGTTTCCTGAGTGCTCTGAAGAGATTCCAGTGCCTGAACAAGGATGATTTGCACTTACCGAGGTTCCAGCTGCGCTGGAGATGAGGCAAATCCTAAACAAAGAATCTTAGGTAAAATATTGCAGTCATCAAAAGTTTTTGACTCAAACAAGGAGGTAATCCCTGCCCTTAACAGAGACACCCAAACACTGCCTGTGTTCAGATCTGGAAATGGGTAGCAACAATCTGTACAAACTGCAGGGAATAAAAATAAAACAAGGAAGGTAACTGGGGGGTGATAGGAGACGTTTGAGGATGTTGGCATTCCCGAGATCTGCAGCTTTTCCAGTTGATTCTTGAGCTTAAAAAAAAAAGAGAAGAGAAGGGAGAAGGGAGAAGGGAGAAGGGAGAAGGGAGAAGGGAGAA